CACTCGGGGGGTTCCCGCCGCGGCCCCGCGCCAGCCCCGCCCCGCGCTCCGCGCCACGCCCCGCCGGGCCCCGCCGCCCCTGCCCTGCTCGGGCCAGGCGGGCCCGCCGCTGCCGCCGCCGCCGCGCTCCGGGGGGCGCGGGGCCGCCGGTCCCCCCCTTCGACCGCCCGCGATGGTGCAGCCCGGGCTGAGGGCGGGGCTGGCGGGGCGGGCGCGGTGCCGCGGCGGGATCCCCCCGTGCGGTGCCGCGGTGGGCGCGCCCGGAGCCGCCCGCAGGCCGGGGCGGGACGTGCGGCGGGCGCGCAGCGATGGCGGCGGCCGAGGTGGCGCGGCAGGTGCGGGCGGGCGCGGGGCCGCCGGTCCCCCCCTTCGACCGCCCGCGATGGTGCAGCCCGGGCTGAGGGCGGGGCGGGCGGAGGGTCCGGGGCGGTGGCTCCGAGCGGGGCCGGGCGGGCGCGGAGCTCCGGACAGGGGGCGTCGAGCCCCGGACGGTGGCTCCCCGGCCCTTGCCAGCCCCGCGGGATGTCCGGCTGCCCCTGCGGCCCCTCCGGTAGCGCGGGCCGTGCGGCCCCGAAGTTGGGCTGGGGTTCCTGGTTTGGCTCTGTTCAGGTCCCCCGTCCGAGCACGTGGCGCACTTGCCGAGAGCTGCTGGACGGTTCAGGCCCGCCGGGCACCCACTGACCGAGACGGTGCCGAATCCCCTCCCAGTGGCACCACAGCCCTTCCCGGCCCGAACGTGCAGCTTCTGCTCCCTCAGCTGCTTGAGCACATCTGCTGCTTCCGGGGGGTGTCACTGCTGCCGCTTGGGTTTTCCTTCATTTGGTGCCAGCACAAGTATCAAACAAGGCTGAGAGGAAACTCAGTCCCCACTCAAAGCAAGTCACTTCCCCAGCCCCTGGGACCCCCGAGTAAAGTCCCCAGGCTTGGCAACCTGTTTTTTATCCTGGTCAGAGTGCATCCAGTGCATCCAGTCCCTAATGCAGTTATGGCCAGGGTAGCCCTAAATGGAAGCTTTGCTGTGCACCTCATTCCTCAGGAGCAGCACCTTATTTCCCTCCTTGTTTCCCTCCTTGTTTTCCCCACCCAAGTGTTTTCAACTCTTCCCCAGGATCCCACGGCTGTGTGGCTCAAGTTCTCTGAGCCCACAGAAGCCACCAACAGCCAATGATAAATCCAGGCAGCACCAGAAAGGGAGCAAGGGGACAATTACATTTTCACCACCAGTCATTTGGGCTTTGAGATTATGCCAGCTCCCCACACATCCCAGAAAAACTGGTTAAAGTGGTTGGAGAAAGGCAAAGGTCCTTGAGGGCGGACAACCAGCCCAGGGCAAGTCAGAGCAGGGCTAAAGCTTAGGGAAGGGATATTAAAAAGGTTCAAGGGGCTGTTGTGGCTCTTCACTGCCTGACCAGCCACAAAACCCAGTGACAGTTCAGCCATGGGTGTCAGAGGAGTCATGGGTTAGAGAAAGGTCTTGGGAGAAACAGGACTAGGAGCTTTTGAGGCAGAGGAATTTGTCCTGATTTCTGAAAAAATTAAGGGTACAGACTACTGGTGGCTGCAGTTGCCAACACCACCAGCCATGGGCTGTGCTGGAAAGTGAAACACAGCAAGAGAGAAAGGCCAAAATGCCTCTGGGATGAAACATCATGTGGCAAGGGACCCAAAACACTGTCCCAGGCTGAGTGTCCCTTACAGCATGGAGACCCACCAGCTACTGGGAACACGGCTCCTCGGGGCAGTAAACCTGGGTTTGCCTGAGCAGAGCATCAAGGAGAAGCATTGCAATCATGGGGGACAATTTTGGTGGGGGCTGTAAGACAGGTGCCTCAGCAAGGCAACCCTGGGGCACCACTGGGGCCAGAGGAAGCATTCCTGGGACCAGTGTCACGGATTTACACAGGCCAGATGTTGTAACAGGATCTGACCTGAAACCCCACTGGGAATGCCAAGTCCAAGTGAATGTTCCCAATTAGTCTTTTGTTAGTTCTTTGGTTACAGCTCAAGCTGGTGCCTCCTACCCCAATTCACACCTCTCAGTTACACCCATGCCACCCATCACCTGATTCCCAAGTCAATCACTAAATTCTGGTCAGTGGTCTATTGATTTCTTACTGGACTACACTGTCACTGGGCTGGCCACCTTCTGAAGTTACTTTTTCCCTTGGAATTGTCTCCTGGGTCCTTATCATCTCCATTCTGCTCCTATCTGCTGAATTCAGGGAGGTCTTTGTTAGCAGCATTGTTTTATCAGAAGTTTACGTTTTGTCGGCTGTTGCGGGCTAAGGGTGAGGCTACTTCAGCTGCTGATGGTGAGACACCGGTGCTAAACGAGACTGTTCAGAGAGGAGAAGACAGTTCAACAAATTTTTTCCATAACACCAGCACCAGACTGCCCAGGACCCACCTGCCTCCACCCGCCCCCGTGGTCCCACACACTCTGCACATCCCCACACAACCACCTGCTCTCCCTCTGTGACACCGCAGCCGAGTGGGGCCGGGGGGGCAGACAGCCTGTGGTTGAGGCCGCGCACGGCGCCTGCGGCAGCCACGGACACAGCGTGGCCAAAGGTCACCTGCACCGCCCGGCAGTGCCGGGATCCGCCGCCATGCCCTCCTGCCACGCAGAATCGGTTCCTCCTCTGCCTAATGCCGGGGAGGAAGCGTGGGGTGAGAGCTGGGGAGCGTGAGCTGTGCCCTGCTGGGGATCAGGCTGCTGGCCAGCCTGTGGAGGCACTGCCATGGCCCGGCAGGAGCAGAGCTTGGCAGAGCAGAAGGTAGCTGGCACCGGCCAGAAGTTCTCCTTCCTGGAAGCTGCCCAGCCCCAAGCAGGGAACCGAGCCCGCAGCTCCCAGCTTCGGTCAGCCACCCTGGGGAGCAGGGACAGTTTCTATACGCTGCAGAAGATGGACACCAACAAAAGCGTCAGCTGGGGCAGGCACAGCCTGGGGAGCTGGGGTAGGACTGCAGGCAGGTTCTCCATTGGCCATGGCAGTACCCGGAGGAAGGAGCTGAAGGAAATCCTCCTACAGACCAACAGCCCTGGCAGCACCTTGCGGTTTGCCACCACTCAGAAGACATCCAACAGCAGCAATCTCCTTGCAGGGCCGCACCAAGAGCAGAAGTCCGAGCAGAGTCCTGACCTGCTGCCCCTTGTCCTTGATCCCCTGGAGCACGCGTGGCTGCTGACGGTGGCTGAGGGCGATGCCGAAAGCATCATCAAGCTGCTGGACTTGGATCCCAGCCTGCTGACCAGGAGAGACTTTGTGACGGGCTTCACCGCTCTCCACTGGCTTGCGAAGCACGGCCACCATGAGAGCCTCATCCAGGTCATCTCCCATGCCCAGAAGAAAGGCTATCCCGTCAACGTGAACATTCCCACAGCCAGTGGCGGGCTCACCCCCTTGCACCTGGCTGCCTTGCAGGGACACGAGGTGCTCATCAAAGTGCTGGTGGGAGCTTACGGGGCAGACACCAGCTGCAGGGACCACAATGGGCGCAAGGCTTGGCAGTACCTGAGGGCAGACACCTCCAGGGACCTGAAGGAGCTGGCGGGGGCCTTGGAGGAGGACTTGGTCCAGCTGCGCTCTCACAACACCAACAACAACTGTAAGTCATCCAAAGAGGCCAGGGCAGGGCAGGACTCTGTGGACTCTGGGGCCGAGGGGAAAGCCCAGCACCCCTGGAGCCTGTCGGCTCTCCGAGGCATTGTTAGACAGGCATTTGCCTTCTTCCAAGAGCACTGAAGCTCTTCTGTCCCCATTCACCTGTAAATCCATGCTGGATAGCAGCCGGAAGAGCCTGAAGGGAGCTGGGAACTTGGGAGCTTGAAACCCTGGCCAAGTGAGGATTAAACCACGGCACCTCAGCCACCCTGGGTCTCCTGTGGTCTTTGGGGCTGTGTGTGAGGAGCACCACGGCCATCGGAACACAGACTAGGGACAGCCCTTCCAAAAAACTGCCTGTCGGCAGAGGGGCTTTTACCCCATGCCCAAGCTGATGGGAACTCCTTGCTGCAGCCCCTCGGTAGGGACTCACAAGTCAGCTCTGCTCTGGGGAGCTGCTTCTCCGATACCCCGTGTGCCCATGAGAGGATGCTGACCCACCACGTGTGGATCCCATGCTGGGGCTGTGGGTGGATGTTTGAGCTGCCTGTCTCAGGCTGCTGGCAGACTTTATGTGTGCCTGTAGGTGGGTCACACAGAAATTCGGTGACTTGGTTCTCCCACCTGTAAAATGAGATGCCTGAGACACTCAGCCCCATTGGGGATGGGGGCCAGAGCACAGGAGGCAGCAAGGACACCAGTTGGGTGGCATGGGTTGGCTTCTGTGGCGACTGGAGTTCAGGAGCAACTCTGGAAAGATGATTCATTGCTCAATACCATGGAAAAGGTATGTGAAGGCTGTGAGATCATCTTTATTGCTACTGAGGTCATGCTCAAAAATGAAACTGATAAATATCCCTGCAGCAGCAAAATGCCAGGTGTATGTACTGGTCACTGCATTAAAAGAGTAAAGCCTCTGCTTGCCTGTTTGTGTTTTGTTCACCAAATGGAGCTCTGCCCATGATTTCAACTTGCTTTTTACATTCTTGAAGGCCAGGGCTGCTTAAAAATACCTTCAGAAAAACAATGTCCCCTTCCTCTTTTTCATGAGCACAAGACCATTCCTGCCTCCTTAAATAGCAGCCCCATTTGAGCAAGTGTCTCTCAGACAGGAACCGGGGAGTTTCTGTTCCCCTCACAGAGCAACAGCCCTTGCAGACACACCTCTTTTGGGAAGGGAGTTGTGTTTTCTTTCCAGCTGCCTTTCTGGGGGTCTGCAGAGGTGGCCAAAGGACTTGAGATGATCTGGCCTGGCTGCACAGATGAATTTGCATCTTGATGCAGAACGATACACACGTAAGTTCCTCTGGGGAACCTGAGCCTGTGGGTTTCACAGACCCTGAGCCAACCCCAATTACATACAGATTGTGCTCTGAAATGCTACTTGGACACCCAGTCTGCAGTAGGTGACAAAGGGAAGAGCAGCCTGCACATGGGTGGACAGTGATCCAGGTGACTAGGTGAACATATAGATGTGTCTTTTTAATCTCTGAGGTCAGCAGTAGATACATACAAAACATGCTGGGAATGAATTCAATGCCTGATCTACAGCAGTTTTGTAATGCTTTAGCTCTAATGGATTGAAGAGTATGGCAACATAGCTCCTCCTGGAACTGCTCTGGCCACATCCATGCCATGGGACAGCAGGGCTGGTCACAGCAGCACAGACTCCATGAACAGCACTGGTGTCAAGTTCTGGTAACCAAAGTGCTGTTGATGAGACAGGTGGGACTGACAAAATATTTTTTGTCCTGTTAGTCCTCTGTCACCCTTTCACACCTGTCAGGGAAGGGACACGGGACCGCTCATACATCCGCCTCTGAGTAAGGCACAGAGTAAACAGTGGAATTAATGAGAATTGCCTTGAAGAAACCATTTCCTTGGCACTCATACTTGCAGCTTAGTCACACCCCACCAGGAAACCTGGACTTCAATGTTCCATTCAAAGGTAAAATTTAGCTGGCAAATGCTCCACTTAAATAACACAAAATGATTTTTAGTACTTGATTCCCCTTGACAGGCAATGAAAATCCCTTAAAGGTAGCTTTTCCCCCATCTTTTGGTTGTGGGTTTAAACCTGTATTCTGTGCTGAGATGAATTAGGCAGGGACTTCAGAAAGAGCAGAACCAGAGCTCAGCTTCTCTGGGGGGTGGTGGTACAACACGCTCACTGATAACACCCCCCTGCCCTGCCCAGGTTCTTTTCCACTGAGCAGAAAAAGGATCTTCTCCTGCTGCTGCACATTGTGTGTGCCCCAAACCCCACGCCACTTCCAGTGACCCACCCCTCTGTCTTGCACGGTTTATTTTCATACCTGCAGAAGGACAGTTGGTTTGGATATACAGACACATTTAAAAAAATATTTCTCAAGTACACAATTGGCTCTAACTTTGCTTCTCACTCAAAAGCAACAGCGTATCCACCAAAACTAATGTAGTAAAACATCCAAATTATTTAGATTTTTTTTCTTTAAAGCTTCTGTTGGTGTCTCAGTTATCTCATTAGCCCAGTTCTGCAGAGATCCCTGATCCCCCCTGCAAGTCTCACAGGGAGGAGAAGGCAAACAGAGCTGCCACAGGAACAACAGAAACCATTCATAACCAGGGGTTAAGATTCTGCAGAAGGCTGAGTTTATCCCAAGTTTAATTTGTACTAAATTTACTATGTGCTGTCTTTTAATGTCCAATTTGAAAAACAGATTGTCAAATGAGGAAAATAATACAAGGGGTTATTTTCCAAAGCAGCTCCTTAGTAGAAACTGCTTCCATCTGATAAAAATATCACAGTAAGGACAGTAATAGGGAGACTTTCTAATAAACAGTAATAAATTTTTCAATCTATTACTCAGGAAAGCTTTTCCACAAATGCCATGGAGAAAACTGTCTCTTTCCATTCTCAAGTCCATAAAATTACTGTTTTCCTCCTCAGCCAGATCCCCATAGACACAATTAAAGAGAAACTCTAGAGTAGCTTTGCCTGCCAACAGTGGTGCTGTGGAGAGGCTGCGGGAGGTTCACCGGGCTCCAAGGCAGATCTCCAGTCCTCAGCAGTGCTGTTATTTCCCAACACTTGCCTCAAGAGCAAAGAGACTTCAAAATCATTGGGGTCAAAGTGTCTGCAGCATGTGAGCCTCTCTGGCAATGCTCTTTGCTGCTTTCCTGTTGCAGTGACTTACTGCTTCCCTCTGATAACAAAGGAGTCTAGACTCTGACCAGACAGGAAGAGAACTTAGATGATACCTCTGCAGCGTCCTGAAGTTGGGAAAAATCCCAGCCTTGCTCGCCCCAGCTCACAGAACCCTCCAGCACAGCTTAGGAGGGACAGATTGCCATGAGTGAGATGTCTATTTGTTGGCGTTTGCACGTGTGAACACGTGATGTGCCCAGCGTTATTTGCTACCGATCGCTATGTGAAGGAGGTAAATAGATTTACCTTCAATGTGAAGAGCAGCAACACAGGTGTGGCACCCTGAGGCTTCCTCAGGAAGCTGCCTCTCAGGAACAGAACCACCACAGCAGCTGAACCCAGGAACCTTGGCAGCCCTCAGTGTCAGGATGGGCTTTGCACCGTCAGGGATTTCCTGCTGACCGGAGCACCTACCCCGGGTCAGCTCTGCAGAAAGGGAAGGAGCAGCCACGCCGGGCTGGGAGCAGAGCACAGCCACCTCCTCCACTTCCCTGAGGTAAATAAATGGTTCCACAGGCCCCAGCAGAAAATACCAGCATCAGGGAGCTGGAGTGACAACTACTCTGAGCCATTTTATCCATTTTTTCCTCTCCCCCTTTTTTAAATAGCTGACTTGTCTTGAGCTACTACTGTCTGCAGAAAATGTTTTATATTAAGCTGCACCTGTGGTTGACATGAACTGACTTACCAAACCAATACAGAGCTCCAAAGCAAGCTCAGGTTATCTCATATTCTAGGGACACAGATGATGTGCTACAGTTTACAGTACTGCATTTTGTAGGAGATAGATCTACTCACCCTTAGCAAAATTTTCTTTCATCCAGTTATTCCACTGCACCCACTCCCCAGCCAGGATTTTAATCACAGGCTCCAAGGGCTGCCCTGCCCCACATCCTACCTGGGAGTAGCTTCTCTAATAATTTTTTTTTTCATTTTAACTCCTCTAAAATCAGTTCTGATTTTTACATCTTTTTTTTTTTCCCTTTTAAAACTGGTACATTTTGTTCTCAAAGGTTTACAGCAAGTGAGTGACAAGGAAGACACAGCCTACTCTACCTGAAAAGAGCTGCCAGGGTTCCTCATACTAAGTGAGAACATACTCACAGGAATGTTATTTTTCATTCTGTTATGATCCCACCATATATATATACAAAATTATTTCAACCAAGTAGTTCAGGTCCATATTTATTAGTAAGCCTGTGCACTGTCAATGCTCATGGTGATGCCTGAAAGAAAGAACACTAATAGAACACAGTCTCCATGTTTCAGATGCAAGAAAAGATTTTCCCAGTTAACATCAACATCCCAGACCAGCTTATAAAAACCCCACACTGGGGAGTGCAGTCCAGCACCACAGAAGGAATGACTTGAGGGTGTATCAATCTGATGCAGAAAGACCAGTGTTCATTAGAGCTCCCAGGACAGTCTCCCTTACAAGCCCAGCTTGGTCCTCCTCCAGTGTCTCCTTTTGGAGTTGTACCTAAGACAAGAGCAGGGTAAATTAGCAAAGTGCACACACACATTTGTTCAAAACATGAAAGAAGAGCAGCACATGGAAAAGGTCTATCCCAAGAAATATCCGTTTGTGAGCATGTACTTGTCCATGTTAAGAACAAACGTTTTCACCACGGTGCAGGTGAAACCGCAGACAGTGTTTGTAACAGAGTTGCTCTCAGCAGGAAAATGGCAGTGCTCCCACTGCAGGAAGCTCTGCAATTGCAGCCTGCTTTGGCACACAGCTCAGACACAGCTGATCACCAAGGTGTTCAAGTGCCACACGTCAAAAATCCATCATTTTGCCCCACGGTACAGTACTCCAAAGTACTGCAATTTAGCTAAAACAGAACCTCGTTGTACGTACAAGCCACCAATCTTGCCTAGAAAGAAACAAGTTGGGAGGAGTTACAGGAACAGAACCTGGCAATCCTGCCCAGTTTCACTACCTGAGCCAGCCACTGCTGCTGTGGCTCTCCTCACTGCTTAGGGTGAAGAGAGAGAAAAAGGAGGAAAAATTCTGTTGCCTTAAAAAAATCCAGACAAAGTGGATGACATAACAAGCTCTCCGACCAAAGTATACAACAGCTTTTAACCAGAGGGCTCAGACAGGCACCACCCTCTGCACGCCCCACGTGGACCAAGACCGTCAGAAACAAACACGCTACCAGGGTACAGAATCTGGAATAAATTACCCGCAAGTGCAGTTCAGGCTTTCGCTTTACATGTGCCATCACTGAACACCCGTGGACCCTTGCAGAGCACTGGAAAGAACGGCTACAGAAAGAAATGGCATGGAAAGCCCACGAAAACACACCTGCACTGCCACCCCGCCTGACCCTCACGGCCACAAAACCGCACTTCTGGAGGCATAAATGCCATCAGCTCCTCCTTCGGCCCGCACCGCCCGGGCCACCTGAGCGCGCCCGTGCGGCCGCAGCCCCTCAAGACGCGCCAGCCGCGCTCGATACCTGATCTTATTGCCGGTTTTCATCCGGATCCACTGAGGGATAGGCCGGTTCTGCTTCTGCTTCTTGGCGAGGAAGCGCTTGATCTTAAACGTCTTGTGGGACGACTGCAAGAGAGCGCAGCGGTCAGTCCCTCACGGAGCCCCGGCACCGCCCCGCCAAGCCCGGGCGAGTCGCACCCGGGTCCCTCCCGCTCCCTCGCGGCCGCCTCGCCCCGCCACCCCCGCGGCCGGCCCGCCGGGCCCCCCGAACGCTGCGGCGGCGGTGCGC